TTTTTAATCATGATTGACTATCTTTCTTCTGTCTTCGAATCATTTCTGATTTTTACAGTCTTTAGATTTGAGAAGATATGATTGAATAAAATAATAATGAGACATATTACTTCAGCAAGTTTTAATATTCTAAAAAAATTCATTTCCATCACCAAAAGCAATATGAAAGAAAAGAGAACATATACATCGAATCAATCTTTTTTTCATTCTTTTCTAAACAATCCACTGCTCTCATATTATTTTTACTAACCCATGGGCAACTTTGAAAAGAGAAAGGAAAGAAGAAATTGGTTTTTACATGCACATTTACAGTTTTATTCACACATCTTCCATGTTGACACTGATTTGTTGACATAGACTGAAACCCTTACGGGAATTTCAGGTGAAATAAATCAATCACTTATACTCTGGTGAATCTTGCATGCAGAAGAGATATAATATTGTATTATAGACTACTAGTTTTTTCGCTTCATGTGAACACAGCTTATTATTTGATTTAATTAACTGCAGATACTAGAATAAATATATGTCATAACAGTTAAAGATTACACCTTTAGATCATAAATACTTATACAGCTACCGACAGCAGCACCGTAAATCAGAAATTGACTATTCAAGGAAATTCCAGAGATATCCATAGGATCAGAAAGTAGATGCGAGCGAGAAGTTGATGAGCACAGATTAATAAAACTTATAAGGAATGTAATGAGATCCCATAAGATCTCACCATCTGATAACATCTGACTTGAACGTAGAGATGAAATCACATCAGATTCCTTCAGCTGAAACCTAGTTACTACTAATTTCATTCGTAGTGTTTTCATCAGCACTCGATATGAGTTTTGTAATAATATTCGATTCCGGTAGGACATGAATCAGATACAGTAGAAATCGATCATCGGAATGATCCGCCTGGGAATGCAACAGACAACGCGAGCATCACTGCAGGATTGCAATAACCACTGATAGAAGCTTCTCCGATTTAACTAATTTAATTGAATACATTTGAAAATTGAAGAAGAAAAGGTGAATTTGTCAAGTAATATCATAAAACAAACTTCATTTGCAATGACAGGATTGATTCATTCTCTCATATAATATCTTCCCCAATGTTTTCGTTCTTCGAGGTGGAGGTTTCTGAAAATAAAATAAACCATAATTTTCATCCTCGTCCATTTTCAGAAGACTTCACTAACAGCTCATAAAATAAAAGAATAACTCCTCCTATCTCTTCATCTATTTTATGTATCCACCTGTACTTTTTCATATAGACACTTACCATATTAAATCTTTCTGATAATAAAATTGGACATACTCGAACACAGCATCTCGTAGATGGATTACGAAATAATATGGTAACTATCATTCTATTGCATATGTTGATCTGCACTCTCTAATGCAGACACTTACCGAATTAAATCTCGGGTGTAATCAAATTGGAGATATTGGGGTAAAGCATGTAGCACGTGGATTACATAATATCAAGGTAACTATCATTCTCTTACTCGCCTATTTCATAAACTCACCTCTACTCCTTCTCACAGACACTTACCGAATTATATCTCGCGCGCAACGAAATCGGAGATGTTGGAGCACAGCACATAGGAAATGCATTACGAAATAATACGGTAACACTCATCGTTTTCGTGATCTATTCCATATATCCGTTTGTACATTTTCATACAGACGCTTACCACATTAGATCTCGTCGGTAATCAAATCGGAGCTGTTGGAGCGCAACGTCTAGTAGAAGGATTACGAAATAATACGGTAACTATCATGGTTTTACTTATCTGTTTCATAAATTCATCTTTGTTCTTCTTTACAGACACTTACCGCATTAGTTCTCAGTGAGAATCAAATTGGAGATGTTGGAGCACAGCACATAGCAGATGGGTTACGAAATAATAGGGTAACTATTATTCTTTCCCTCGACTATTTCATAAATCCATCTTCACTTTTTTTATACAGTCGCTTACAACATTAGCTCTCGTGCGCAATAATATTCGACCTCTAGGAGCAAAACATCTAGCAGGCGGGTTACGTAATCACAAGGTGACTATTATTCTCTTGCGGACCTATTTCATATATGCAACTCCACTCTTCCTTGCAGACACTTACCACATTATATCTCAGCGAGAATAAAATCGGATATGTTGGAGCAGAGTATATAGCACGTGCATTACGTAATAATAAGGCAACTATTAATCTTTTCATCATCTATTTCATACATTCCTTTGCACTCTTTAATACAGATACTTACTTCATTGGATCTGTATGACAATAACATCGGAGATACTGGAGCTCAGCATATGGCAGACGGATTACGGAATAATACAGTAATTACCAATCTCTTACTCGTCGATTTCATATATCCATTTGTACTTTTTCATACAGGCACTTACCACATTAAATCTGTATGACAATAACATCGGAGATACTGGAGCGCAGCACATAGCAGATGGATTACGAAATAATACGGTAACTAGCATTGTCTTCCTCATCTATTCCATATATCCATCTGTATATTTTTATACAGACACTTACCACATTAGATCTCGCCGGCAATAAAATCGGAGATGTTGGAGCACAGCATCTAGCAGATGCATTACAAACTAATATGGTAATTAATGTTCTCTTCCTTACCTTTTTCATATATTCATCTGCACTTTTTTATACAGACACTTATCACATTAAGTCTGGGATTCAATCAAATCGGAGATATTGGAGCGCAGCATCTAGCAAATGCGTTACGAAATAATACGGTAACTATCATTCTTCTCCTCATCTATTCCATATATCCATCTGTATATTTTTTTACAGACACTTACCACATTATATCTCGGCAGCAATGAAATCGGTGATCTCGGAGCGCAGCATCTAGCAGATGCATTACAAACTAATATAGTAAGTATTATTCTCTTCCTCATTTATTTCATTTATCCACCAGTACTTTTTCATACAGACACTAACCGTATTATATCTCGAGAACAATAATATCAGTTACGAACTCATGGTTGAAATCGATGAATCCGTTGAACAGAACAAAAGAGTGGCAAATTTATAAATGCTGGTATCGACGATATACTGATTACTACTAAAAAACTATTAATGGATTTTTGGATAAATTCATATGTTGTTTATCAGCGTAATAATATACCAATAAAACGTTCACTTTATTTGCGCTTTTTTTTCTAACAACATAATTGGGATCGAGTTTTGATTGAGAGGTGCCGCTGTTCATGTGGTGCATTTTTTAGAGTCATATTTATGGTAGTTGACTGGAGATTATAGTATAGTATGAAATTGTATATAGTTGTTTAGACGGGTGTGTATTTTAGAAATAGTAGATTGATATGCTCTTTATTAACTAGTTGATTAACAGCAAGCAGAAAGTGTCTTTAGAAAGATGAAAATTCGGGCATGTAAAATACGATATTGTGTTATGATCGGAATATCTTTGGATGTACGAATGGATGAGAGATGGAGAGTTATTAGCTGATCGCGACGAACATAATCGTGAAACAATCGATCTTTAACTAGCGTTTGGTCTGGAATTCATGAGCATGGTTGATAACTGAGAATGTATGGGTTTATGTAAAATTTGTTCTGGTGAATGTTTGACTGTAAATGTTGGTGTGGTACTAAAGTGAAAAGAATAGCATGAGTTTTAATCAATTTGTATATTTGCTAGAAAACTGGTGTAATCATATTTTGAATCTAATTTAGTTATAGAACAGTTTTTATTTTATTCTAATAGAAATATAATCAGAATAGGAGTGAATTAGGTTTGAAGATGTATGTTTTGATATATGGTATTGACGAATCTAATCTATGGAAATATCAATCGAGAAAAGAAACCACATTCATCTCAGTTTGCTCAATGCGTTTCTTATTGTTTTAGTCAAAGTAGACTGAGTCAATTGTCTGTATTCTACATGGTGAACAATAGATTGTAACCTATTTATTGATCGAAATGAAAAAATTTTAATAGCGAATATGATTAATACATTGTCCTCCTCTTTTTTCTTCATTTTGATAACTGTTTTGAAGTCATTTGTGAGCAAATAATATAATGCACTACGAAATCAAAGAGGGTTTCATAAAAACAGAAAAGATTCTTAGCGTGAAAAGAAATATAAATGAGGATTTCGATTTCGTTACAAAGATAGTTCGGTAGTGCACCTTTTTTTTCAAGTGTAGTCTCTTTTTCTCCTTCATTTCTATGAAAGAAAATTTTCATAAACAAAGCACTTCTTTGACTTAGATAGTGAAGAGAAAATTATTCATTTTAACGGCAGATTGTGCAACCCTGCTATTATCGTTGATTGCATGTTGCTTTGAGTGTTTGATCTATATTTTTTGATGTCAGAAAAGGAAATTGTTTTTCCTCCTTTAATAATGCTGTTCTTAATTAAATATTATCGTGCCGACAATAGTCATATTTTTATTAACACGATTTTCTCATATCTGTTATTTTCTTCCCATAAATGAAAAAATATAAGAGAAGAGAAGAGAAGAGAATTAGATTGTCTATAGTTATCTTTAAAGATTAATTTAGAAGGAAAATGATAGGATCACCACCACCTACAGATGATATTCTTCGCCTTTGGATTTATTGTATTAGTGGATTTATTACAGTTATATTTCTGATGATCATGATCTGTTCTATTGCATGTCGTCAAGAATGTTTAGATAGGGCAGCAAGAAGAAAAGCAAGAGAACATCAGTATAATCGACTTCAAGAATGGCAACAACAAGTCAATTCTTTTCCTAATTTGACACATCGACCAGCAAGTGATATTCTTGCTGAATTAGGTATTGGCCAGCATCAACCTCAATCTGTATGAACAATAAATTGAATAGATAAAACGAGTTTCTTTTTATTTTCTTTATCTATAAACATAAATAAATCCATGATTTTACTTGACACAGTTTTTACAATACTAAGTATATCTCTTTGATTCTTTACTTATTATTAGACATGACAAAATTTTCTATGTGAGGAAGATTATTCTACGAAAATAGATTATGAGTTTGTTTATGAGAAGACTAAAGACGTGATTTGTACAAAGTAGAAAAAATCGAATTTATTTGAAGCACAATTTTCTACATCTGGATTTTATCAATCATGTTGTATACTCTAAATAGATCAAAAACTGTTTTCACAACAGAAAATTTAGATTTTTGATTATTAAGAAATGAACCTTTTTTTTCATAAGAATAAAAATTATATTAGTATTTTATTTAATAACAAGAAGCACATAAAAATAACTGCGATTTACAATATTTTTTGAGATTGAAAGATAATGAGAAAGCGAAAAATAAGTTTATTTTATGTTAAATTGAAGCAAATAATTACTCATTTGTTAGAAATAACACAGTATTTTGATCATAATAGTAAGTATAAGAATAGACCATTTGATTGTACCTTGAATTTCCAAACGGTGACTCTTATTTTGCACTGCTCGAATTTCGCATTTCGGTGTTTCAGAGAGTGTAGATGAGATGGTTTTACTATCATTACTTAGAGTTATTTCTACGGTTTCATTCAAGAATAGAAAGGAAGCCTTAAATTTCTCTCCAGGATCGATCATCACATCAAGTTCCGTGAAATTATAACAAGAATCACCCAATAATTGTGCCGTAATTTTCAGCTTCGGGTCGGATGGAATAATGTTCACCAATCCCGAAAGACAGCAGCATTCTTTCTCATTGCACCCTTCTTGAACATGAAATACACCCTGCCAATCCTGACCTTGAACCGTGCAGATAGCTAAAAGAATAAAAACTAAACTTTTTGACATCTAAAATATATAAAAGACAGTTTTAGTGGAATTTTAAATAGAGTAGCGAGCAGCAGTGAGTTTATATAGGAGATTCTTCTTCTACAAAACAAGCTTTCTCAATTAAACATATCCAAGTCAAATATTCTATCATCCTAAAAATAATAAAACAGTAAGTTCTCTCTCTATGGAAACATCAGTGTAGTTATGATCGATGTGTCTAGTAACTGAATCATAAACTTGTTAGAAATTATATACTACCATTTTTTTTAATATAGTGAAGCAAAATATTTGCTTTTGTTTATCAGAAGAATAAAATATGTTCCATTTAATCAGAAAGAAAATAGTAAAACAACTGGAATTGTTTGAATTTGATAACAGCTCACTTTTCTGTTACTGATAGAATGCCATTCATAACTGTTATTTTTTATGATTATTTGAAAATTTCTCTGTAATCCTATACGTCATTAAAAAAGCAACGGATTATTTTCTTGTTTTCAATCGATATTTATCTATGTGTGTAAAAAGCTTTGTTGTTCATTCTATAATTTATTCAAGATAACTAAAAAATGTATTCTGTTAAAATAGTTTTCTTTCTGCCATATAATTTGTAGTCACTGAGTAAATTTATTGTGGACACTATCCGATATAGTCTATAACGAGGAAAAAGTTAATGTCATGATTTAAGATGATGACGCAAACGAAATATAAAATCATCCAATCCTTTAGTAATTAAAAAGTCATGTTTCTATAGGGTGGGTGTGGGTGTCTATCTTTTCCTAATTTATTTCTCACACCCACACTCACCCCCCAACCCTCTCAGATATCACATCAGTTTTATCAATGAGATTTCGTCACAATAAAATTCTTTTTCTATTCCTTCTACTATCGAACAATTAATAAAGATACATTGTTAGAATTTCATCACTTTAAATTTTTTATATTAAAGCTCTTAATAAATTAGAAAAATTAAAACCTTTTTTATTATTAGAAAAACAAATGGTATACTATAAAAGATTTTGGTAATTGTTAGTGATCATAATGTTTTATTTTTCTGTTTATATTGAGAATGGAATGTATTAAAAGATAAATATTATACCTAATTATTCACATAAATAATTTAGAAATGAATATTTTCAATAGAAACTAGTGAAGTAGAAATAATCGCAAAAAATTGTCCATTCTGAACAATGTTTTTTTTTGAAATATTTGTAATATTTTTTATTTTATATATGAATAAGCTCTCAAAGACGAATTTCATCATTGAATTTTCATCAAATATCATATCATAAACTAAAAATCTCTGTAAAATGATTTTAACTCTGAACAAAAGGTCCAAAGAGTTTTTTTTTCATCATATTGTGATCTACATTCAATATAAAAAGAATTATAAAAAAATCTCGATATGTATATATTCGAATCGATGAATATTGAAGAGAATTGTAGGAATTGTCATAGTTGAATATTCATATAAAAATCAGATAAAAAGTCTCTTTTGTTTTTCTTCTTCTTCTATTAGAAAAAATAGTAAATAGTTGAATCAAATTTTATTTATTTAATATTAATATTTAACAAGTATTTTAATTATTACATAAATCAATGATAAGATATAATTATATATGATTAAAATATTCTTTTTAAATGTAAAATCTAGGAATAAATGAGAGACAATCGATTTTATGATCTTTAAATCAAATAGAATTTCATTGAATCTCAGAAACTATTGTTTATTTACAGTAGAACTTTTCTCAAGTGAATGTCAAAGAAATTTTTTCAAAGTATAATATTATAGAAAGATGTTTATTAATGAAAAAAAAACATTTTGTATAATAAGTTTCTATGATTGGTGATTGAAAATGATTTTATAATAAAAATTAATCCGAATGAATGCGTAAAATAGTATAATAGTTTATTCGATTTCAGTTGATAATGTTGATTAGACAAGAAAAAGTAAAAGATAAAATTTATTTAATTCTATACAAATCTTTTATTATTTTCAATTTTTGTTTTCATCATTTTCGAGAACCAAAATTCAACAGATGGAAACAAAATACCATCACTGTGGTTGGTAAAACTGTACAAGGAGAAAGATTAAACCAACTGTTTTACTCTCATAGAATTACTGATTGTTTTAATCCTCGTGTTGTTGAATGAAATGGATAGAAATGGTTTCTTTATGTTTCGGATTATAAGAAGAATGAAGTGAGACGATGGAAAAGGAGATCAACTGAAATATCCTACTTTTATCTTTGTTGATGAAAATCAATTGTATTATCCTCGAGAAGTAATCGTTGATCATTTAACTCAAAACTACGTCACAGATTGTGAGAATGATTGAATAATGCGTTGGTGTGAAAAGGATCTTAATGTTTTTGAGTGAAACCATCATCAAATTCAAGAATTTGAAATAATTTTGTGAACGAAATGTTTTTGAATAAAAATAATTCGAAAAAGACATTTAATCTTTGCGAAAATTCTATTTGAATATTTTTATTTAGCATGATGCATATTTCAATATATTATATATTTTGAGCATTATATAATATGATTGTCTTTATCCATCAAAATATTATTTTCACCAAAAACTTACATTCTCAACAATCGTAGTTAAAAAGTGATCTACTTTAAAATTGTTGAAAAATAAGAACATTGTTTGTCAGTACATACTTTATAGTGCAAACATTTTCATCTCATACTAAAATGAAAGCTAATAATCAAATAGAGATCATAAAAGAAAGTGCATTGTTGAAGTTAGAAATTGACGTCAATTAAATTAATAAATAAATATTATACTTTCGGAATTTTTTGTCCTGAAAAACTGTTTATTTATATTATGCAAATATGGATACGTCATATACGCCTTTGTTAATCTGTTTTTTAAGATAAATTTACAACAGAAGAAAATTTAAACTTAAATTACTCTAGATACCAGAAACAACCATACGTACCAGTAAAATTCTACTTATTATTTTTTTAAAATCATAGGATAGAAATTAAAAGTTCAAAATCTATAATGTAATTGAAAAATTTCAATAAAAAATAATCGACATATAGTATGATAAAATATGTTTAACAGTTATAACAATGATAGATCAAAGAAAAAGTTTGAAATGAATACATCGAATAATACATTTTATAGATAAATAATAATCATTTAATGATAAGACAATATATATTAACGGATATTTTTAACATTATAGAGTGAATAAATGTTTATTTATTAATTCTTTTTTTGCACTTAATATAAAATGACGATGGAAAAAATTTCTAGGGAATACTGTTTAAATGTTCCTGTTAAACTTTTTATTTTGCGTATTTCTTTATACATATCCTTAAATAGGTTTCCGATAAAAACAAACATCTTTTTATTATTGGAAAATGAGCTAATAAGTGGACACAAGAAAAAAATTTGGAAACATATATAGAAGAGAAAATGATTAGTTTCAATTCACTCCTTCTCTGGGTAAGTTAATCAATACAAGTATTTTGTTTGAAATTCTTCACTTTGCTACTACTGTTCACACAGTAGTGTTCGACAATCTGAAAGTGAAAAGGCATTGATTTATTCACAATGCTATCACTCGATAGTTTAAATATATGGCTAACGCTGATCATCATTGGACATGCATCAGGTAAATAATCAATCAATTTATTGTAATATTTATCCATCATAAGTATTTAAATTAGTTGATACGAGCTTGATCAGTTGAAAGATTATATAATATGAAATGTGTATCTTTTATGTAAAATTACATTTTCAAATATTTTCATACCCTTAGCTGATACTAATATTTCTAAACATTCTATTCTCACACATCCCACAGATCAACATGAACTCTATAAAATCTGAAAAACTAAAAGTTAAATTCAAATTAGATTCTCACCTTTTTAAAACTTAAATACCAATGATAGGCTCTAAATGAGATGTATCTGTTGCGTGATGTTAAGAACAGTTAAATGTAGAAAATATCTTTTTAAACATATAAAAAATTATATTAATAAATTCTGTTGTATTTTTCTTTTAAATTCTAGCTATTTCATACAATAAGCCGAAATTTTGTCCAAATGCATCATGGTATCCAAATGCTACGACTTTCGCAAATATGAGTATGATGGGTCCGAGACCTCGCGATATTTTTATCAATACAACCAATACGATCTATGTCACTAGTGAAGCAGCTGATATGATTATTGTGTGGTCTGAAGGAAATACTATACCAATCAAAAATATTTCTGGTAATCTATCAAATCCAGTTGGTCTCTTCGTTACAACAGCAGGTGAAATCTATGTTGATAGTGATAATCCAACCGGTCGAATTGATAAATGGACATTAAATGCAACAGTTGGTATTCCAATAATGTATACATGTACAAAATGTTATGGTATTTTTATCGATATGAATAATAATCTTTATTGCTCCATGTATAATGTTCACCAAATTGTTACAAAATCATTAGATGTTGTTTCAAATGCATTAACAATTGTTGCAGGTACAGGAACTGCTGGGAGTACCTCGTCTATGCTCAATGGTCCTTGTGGAATCTATGTTAATACCAATTTTGATTTATATGTGGCAGATTATAGCAATAGTAGAATACAATTATTTCAATCTGGTCAATTAAATGGAATCACAGTGGCGGGAATAGGATCATTAAATACTACAATTACACTCAATGGACCAGCGGCAGTTGTTCTCGATGCTGATAGTTATCTCTATATTGTAGATCAAAATAATAATCGTATTGTTGGATCAGGTCCAAATGGTTTTCGTTGTTTAGTTGGATGTTCTAATTCAAGTGGTTCGGCAGCAAATCAGCTTGATTATCCGAGAAGGCTAAGTTTTGATAGTTATGGAAACATGTTTGTCACAGATTGTAACAATGATCGAATTCAAAAATTTGCTTTATTAACAAATTTGTGCAGTAAGTCTACTAAAGTAAAAATCTTTCATAGGTATAAACATATAGCTTAATATAAATACTTGTCTTCATAATATCGAACATATTTCAAAATTGTAAACAATTATGAATATTTAACTGATTATAAAAAGAATTTCATTTTGTAATATAATTTATTTTTAGGTGAAACTATAACATCAACTCTAATGAGTGGTAAGATAATATGCTTTTTTTATTCTAATAAAATTTAAAATTTTAGTAACAACAATAACTACGCAATCAAGTAATATAATACAATTACCATCAACTAAAAGTAAATATTATTGAATTTACCTTAATTCTACTTTAGTTGAATATCAAATACTTAGACTATGGAATTGTTTTTTATTTGTTTAGATATTTCATACAATCGACCAAAATTCAACGCATTGCCTTCATGGAATCCCAATGCAATTATTTTCGCCAATATCAGTACAGTTGGCGTACTTCCTACAGGCATTTTTGTCGATACCAATAACACAATCTATGTTGTTGATCGAGGAAGTAATGAAATTCAGATATGGTTCAATAATAGTATCAGTCCGACACAAACAATTTACGGTACTTTTTCTGCATCTCTTTCTATTTTCGTTACAACTAATGGTGATATTTATGTTGACAATGGGGCATCTAACTATCGAGTAGATAAATGGACATTGATTGCTATTACTAGTGTTCCTGCCATGTATGTTAGCTCATCATGTTATGGTCTTTTCGTCGATATCAATGATACTCTTTACTGTTCTATGTTTTTTCTTCATCAGATTATCACAAAATCGTTGCATAGTATGTCAGACAAAACAATAATTGTTGCGGGTACAGGTTGTTCTGGATCCACTTCAAATATGCTCAACAGCCCTTGCGGAATATATGTTAGTACTAATTTCGATCTATATGTGGCAGATTTTAGCAATAATAGAATACAATTATTTCAATCAGAACAGTTAAATGGAATCACAGTAGCAGGAGCAGAATCACTAGATACCACAATTACACTCAATGGACCAACTGGAATTATTCTCGATGCTGATAATTATCTATTTATTGTGGATTATAACAATAATCGTATTGTTGGATCAGGATCAGATGGTTTTCATTGCTTAGTTGGATGTTCTGGCTCAGGCGGTGCGGCATCCAATCAATTATTATATCCTTTTAGTCTTAGCTTTGATAGTTATGGAAACATGTTTGTCAGTGATTATGGAAATAATAGAATTCAAAAATTTATTTTATTAAACAATACTCATGGTATGTAATAAAAAAGATAGATAGGTTGAAATTAGATTAACAATATATATTGTTCTCAGAAAACATAACTTAATGACAAAATATTTTCTATGAAATTATGTTTTGTTAAACATAAATTTACATTCCTCATTTTAAAATTATTGTGCTAAAATAAATAATTTTAGGAAGACTCTTCTGAAATATTGTTTGTCTCATATCAATGTAACAAATAAATCTATTTTGTTTTAGATCCTTCGTACAATCAACCGAAATTTTGCCAAAATGCATCCTGGAATCCAGATGCAATTACTTTTACAAATATCAGTACAGTTGGTGCACTTACTATGAGCATTTTTGTTAATACTAATAACGCAATCTATGTTGCTGGTCGGTCAAATAATTTAATACAGATATGGTCTAATAATAGTATCGATCCGACACAAATAATTCAAAGTGGTTCTTTATACCCTCTTTCTATTTTTGTTACAACTAATGGTGATATTTATGTTGACAATGGGGGATCCAACTATCGAGTAGATAAATGGACATCGAATGGAAACATTAGTGTTCCTGTCATGCATGTTAATACGTCGTGCTATGGTCTCTTTATTGATACCACTGATATTCTTTATTGTTCAATGCTTAGTCTACATCAAGTTGTCAAAAGATGGTTGAATGATAATTCTAGCATAGTAACAATTACTGCTGGTAATGGGACTGCTGGAAATACCTCGTCCATGCTAGGTGGTCCTTGTGGAATCTATGTTAATACCAATTTCGATCTGTACGTAGCAGATTATTTCAATAATAGAATACAACTATTCCAGTCTGGTCAATTAAATGGAATCACAGTAGCAGGAGCAGAATCATTAAATACTACAATTACACTCAATGGACCAACTGGAATTGTTCTTGATGCTGATAATTATCTTTTTATTGTGGAATATCTCAATAATCGCATTGTTGGATCAGGACCAAATGGTTTTCGTTGTTTAGTTGGATGTTCTGGTTCAAGTGGTTCAGCATCCAATCAATTATTAAGTCCTTATACTCTTAGCTTTGATAGTTATGGTAATATGTACGTTACAGATGCTGGAAATAATAGAATTCAAAAATTTATATTATCAACAAATTCTTGTGGTAAGTATATGAGTATTTTATTTACTTTTCGAGCACTTTCTATACAGTTCGACTGAATCCAACACACTACTTATGATTCTCCGGACATGTTAGAATTTGTTCTTTTTCGATCAATTTTTTTTTTAAGTGGTTCCACCTCTAACAATATACGAAATCGGTAAAAATCCCCAGAAATATATTCTCATAGTTCAAAGAAACGTTTTTCCGCAAATATTACACGTAAGAAGGAAAAAGATCATCTAGTCATTAGACTAAAAATAAAATAATATACAGGCGAACTAATTTTTCTGATTTCCTGAATATCTCTACACTTAAAGACTTGGAATATGAAAAACTTTCTAAAAACTACAAGTATCTGATTATAAACCGATGTGACAATAGTAAAAATATTTATAGACTAAAAATTATCAATTTGCTATATATTTTACTAAAGATGAAACAATATCAACAGTTGATCCAACTACAACACAAACTCAAAAAGGTTTGCTAATAAAAATAATTTTTAATGATACGAATAAATATTTATAGAACATATAACTTCTACAGAATACATAACAACTCCAAATATATTGCCTACTAATAAAAGTAAGAATTTTTAGAATAAATAAAATCAATTCTAATATTGATGATTTAAGCATGTTTCATTCCAAGAATAACACTTATACCTGGTATATCAACATTATCATCACCAATTCAATTTCGACGAAGTCAAGGTTTTTATATAATATCATTGATTGAATTAAATTGTACTAATTCATTATCTATGATTACTCAATGGACAATAACAAATTGTACTTCTATTTGTTTACAAAAAATTCAATTAGATTCAACAATAATAACAACATTGAGTGAATTATATATTCCTAGAAATACTCTAGCATATGGTATATATGAATTAAAATTAACTGTAACAATGACGAAAGTACCAAGTTTAATTTCATCATCATCTGTTTATATTCAAATAACTTCATCCGGTATAACAGTAAATTTAGTTGAATATGGAACATCAATGATTACACGTGGAAAACAACAAAATCTTGAATTTGATCCAGGAAGTTATTCTATTGATTATGATAACAATGTTTTTAATGCTAGTGTAAGTTTAAATCAAGATCCTTATTTATTATTCTTGTCCTATTGAATAGAATTGGATATATAAATATTATTGTCGAATATATAGTTTATACATGTTTCCAAATTTACAAGGTTCATTATTATCAATTGATGATATGAGAAATGATCCATTGAATCCATCATGTTTATTAAATCGAACAGGATGGCAATTTAGTAATTCAATGGAATCATCATTAACAATTCTTTCTGATTCTCTTCAATCCAATGAAACATATCAATTTATGGTTTATATGACAAATCGTCGAAATTCTTCACTTCAAGCAACTGGTTATGTACTTGTTAAAGTTGAAGATACTTATCCACAAATGATTCTAATTAGGTTAATATTCTCTTTTTTTCTTTTAATGAATAAATAAATAACTATTGAATTTAGTTGTATTATTTCAACATTATGTGTACCAAACTTAGAATTTCAATTTGTCAATCCAACAACTCAAGTTGCTTTATTTTCAGTTTGTAGTGAAAATTGTACAACAATTCAAAATATAACATGGAATGTTTATCATGGTGAAATAAATTCATCTTCAAATTTTACAAAATGGATATTATTTAATCAAACAAATTTTTATCAAAATATTTGGTTTTTTGGTAAAATTATTTGGTTTTTCTTCATATATTTAAGAAAGATTATCTTAATTTTGTCTAGGTACAAATACAAGTAATTTTACAGCAACAAATCAATTGTTTCTATCAAATCCACAATTACATCTTTGGCGTTTTGAAGTTACTTACACATTTATATCCGAAACAAGTGTAAGTTCATTAAATTTTATTATCAATCAACCACCATATAATGGTTCATGTTCGATCACTCCTCTTAATGGTACAACTACTAGTTTGTTTGATATTTCATGTCCAGATTGGTTTGATGAAGATGGAATTAGAGATTATGCTGTTTATAGTATACTCATATTTTCTTTTAATTACAAAAAAAATTATTTTAATTATTTTCATAGCTTGGACGAATGATTTAACAGAACAAATGATCGTTGCTTACTCTGCAGTACCAACATTTCAAGTTCGATTACCATCTGGAGATAATCAAACATCCTTACTTCATTTGATTGTTTATATTCGAGATACATTAAATTGTATTGCAGAATTTAATCTATCATCTGTTAATGTTATACCAGATTTAGTAGGAATTACTAATTTAATAAATAATATTCAAAACCTATCAAGTGGAATAACAACAAATCCAATAGTTCAATTACTTGCTAGTGAAAATCAAAATGTCGTTGCACAATTAATTATTTCACTTTCACAAGAATTGAATAAAATGAATAATGATAATATTGATAAAGCTATTTCAAGTATATTCCAATATCATATAATTATTAAAATTGATCTTTATTCTTTTGTTTTTTGTCTATAGATGGTATACCAGTTACAAGTATTTCTATTTCACCATTCGGATATCAAATTTCACAAGGGGTAGACTTATTCAACATTTCTTTTTTTTCTACTCGATTATATTTAAAAATAGTTATCAGTACCAATAAATAAATCACCATTGATTGAATATAATACAGAATTAAATAAGCAAGCAAATGTTCGAGATTATCTAATAACATTTATAACAAATCTTGCCATAACATCATTGGATAGTATCAAATTACAAGCATCATCATTAGCACAGTTTACCAAAGCAACAAATCAATTAACAAGAACAACTTTAGTTAGATTTTGACTTTTATTTTCGAATACAAAAATTTCATTTTATAGACATTAGCAGCAGATAGATGTTATCAATTAACGATTGCTCTGTATTTAAAAAGAACAAGAATCCCGTATGAAGATGTTCAAACAGCAGCAACTCAACTTATTCAATGTGCTGCTAATCTACTCAGTGTAAGGAGATTTTTCATGTATTCACAAATAGAACTAACTCTTTCATTTTTTGAATCATTTAGGCTGTAAATGGACCATTACAACAACGAACTAATATATTGAATTTAGATTCATTACGTGCTACAACATTTCCATCTGATTATGATACTGATCTTGAATCCGAATGGTCTAATTTAAGTAAGATTTTAAAGAAAACTACATAATAATTTTTTTTCTAAATAATTTTTAGATTTATTTGCTGATGGCAATGATTTTTCATGGGAAACAGTAGAAAAAGGTCGAAATATATATTATCAAAGCCAGTTAGCAAATCGAATTGCTATTCAAATGAATGATCTCGTCTCATTATTAACTTCAACATTAAATATTCATTTAAATATTGAACAAAGCATATTAATAAATACGTCTCAAGTATTAATGTCATTAAAAACTAAAACAGTTGAAATATTTTTAAATAAATATATTCAACAAATTGAAAATGCTCAAATTCAATTTCCTGAAAATTTAAATTTAAATTTAAATAAAAACTCAAAAATTTCAATTCGAGTAAAATTTTCTAGTTTATTTTTTAAATAATATCATTTTTATTTTCTAGTCAATTATCGAACCATTAGCTTCATTTGGTATAACAAATACAAATCTTTCCAGATTAGTAACATTTTCAATTATCGAAGAAAATGAAATTGCTATTCAAACAAATATTAATCACCCAATTGAAATAATTATTCCTCGAGATCCAAATATAATAATTCCATCAATGATTTTACAAAATGTTACATCAATGAATTTTACTCCTTATAATCAATTATTTCATTTACATTATTTAGATATAACAAGTTCTCTTTCAATTTCAATTCATTTTGAAATTCAACCTTTAAATATAAGTCTTGCTTATTTATTTATTTATAAATTTGATCAATTACCTCAATTAAATACTTCAATTAATACCATTGATGGATGGACTCTATTTTGTCCGTTGAATTTAACAAATGAAACTTTGTATAAATATTTTATTAATAGTCAACAAACATCTGGTCATCAATCAATTATATATGGTTTACGAGAATTAAATTCAACAGAAATGATGAATACATGTTCGAATACTTCAATCAATAGTCCACCAATAACAAATCAACGATTTAATTTTACATCAAATTATCAACTAAGAATTTATACATCAGGTTGTTATTATCTTGATAAAACTAATCAATGGAAATCAGATGGATTAATAGTTGGTCCTTTGACAAATCATTATGAAACTCAATGTTTTTCAAGTCATTTAACAAGTTTTGCTGGTGGTTTTATTATATTACCTGAATCAATTAATTGGAACTATATATTTGCTAATGCTGATTTTATGAAAAATAAAACAATTTATTTAACAGTTATTTGTGTATCTGTAATTTATATTATTTTAATCATCTATGCACATTTTAAAGATAAAAAAGATTTGGAAAAATTAGGAGTTACACCATTACCTGATAATCATCAATCAGATGAATATTTTTATCAAATTATTATTTTTACGGGTCAACGAAAAGGTGCTGGAACAGATTCAAATGTAAGATAAAGAAAAGAAAAAGAATAGATTTTCAAAATATATTTCATATATAGGTTCATTTTGTTTTATATGGTGATAATGATGAAACACGTATTCGTATATTAGCAGATCCTCATCGAAAAATTTTACAACGTGGTGGAATCGATTCATTTATAATGGCAGTTCCGAAGTAATCTATTATTTAACAAAATAAAATAAATATTAAATTTTTTATTTAGATCATTAGGATTATTAAATTATATTCGTATTTGGCATGATAATACAGGTAAAGGTTCATCATCATCATGGTTTTTAAAATATATAATTATTCGTGATTTACAAACAATGGAAAAATTTCATTTTATTTCTCAACGTTGGTTTGCCGTTGAAAAAGATGATGGAAAAGTAATTGATTATTTATTTTTTTTCGAATATTTTTTATTTTTTAAATAGATTGAACGTATTTTATCAGTTGCAAATGAAATCGAAAAACAGAATTTTTCTTATCTCTTAACAAAACGTACATATCATAGTATTTCCGATGGTCATTTATGGTTTTCAATATTTTCTCGTCCACCATCAAATAAATT